ATTTCATGGAAGCTTTCTCATGCTAAGATAAGCCTTTCATATCATTATCAAGACAGACAGTGAAACATATCCAAATTTAGAACTTCAAAATTGAATGACTTCACTATTATATTGACTGGTGTACATATGATATATTTGGGAATTTTGAAAAAACCATTTGTACTGCAAGGCTATAAATTTCATGGAAGCTTTCTCATGCTAAGATAAGCCTTTCATATCATTATCAAGACAGACAGTGAAACATATCCAAATTTAGAACTTCAAAATTGAATGACTTCACTATTATATTGACTGGTGTACATATGATATATTTGGGAATTTTGAAAAAACCATTTGTACTGCAAGGCTATAAATTTCATGGAAGCTTTCTCATGCTAAGATAAGCCTTTCATATCATTATCAAGACAGACAGTGAAACATATCCAAATTTAGAACTTCAAAATTGAATGACTTCACTATTATATTGACTGGTGTACATATGATATATTTGGGAATTTTGAAAAAACCATTTGTACTGCAAGGCTATAAATTTCATGGAAGCTTTCTCATGCTAAGATAAGCCTTTCATATCATTATCAAGACAGACAGTGAAACATATCCAAATTTAGAACTTCAAAATTGAATGACTTCACTATTATATTGACTGGTGTACATATGATATATTTGGGAATTTTGAAAAAACCATTTGTACTGCAAGGCTATAAATTTCATGGAAGCTTTCTCATGCTAAGATAAGCCTTTCATATCATTATCAAGACAGACAGTGAAACATATCCAAATTTAGAACTTCAAAATTGAATGATTTCACTATTATATTGACCAGTGCCTATAGCATATAATTTGGGAATTTTGAAAAAAATCATTTGCACTGCAAGGCTCTAAATTTCATAGAAGCTTTCTCATGCTAAGATAAGCCTTTCATATCATTATCAAGGGTTGTTTTATTTGTTCTTCTAGATTATTACAAAATAAAATTCCTGTGCGAAAACCATTTTCAAAGACTTGAACGTTAGACAAAACTTATTTAATTTTGTAATAATCTAGAAGAACAAATAAAACAAACAAAAATCAATGAACCTGGATTCAAACCTTTTAACAAGTTCATTTAGGGCAATAATACGACATGGAAATTGCTGAAAGTATGAACACTTACTTCTCGTCTGTGTTTACAAACGAAACTTATGACAACTTTCCCACCGTAAACCGTATATTAAATGAGGAGTTGACGGATGTTCAATGCACAATTGAAGAAGTCGAAAGACACTTAAAAACGTTAAATGTTTGTAAATCCTCTGGACCGGACAATATCCCACCACGAATATTAAAAGAATGCGCCTCTCAACTAGCACCATCATTAGCGAACCTGTTTAATAAATCCTTTTCCTCGGGTATGCTCCCCCAAGACTGGAAACTAGCTAATATTGCTCCAATTCACAAAAAGAATTCGAAATGCAAGAGAGAAAACTACCGACAAATCTCACTAACATCTATTATATCTAAGATAGCAGAAAAGATTGTTCGGGATAGATCAGTTGAATTTTGGCTCAGTCAGAAAGTATTTAATGAAAATCAATTTGGATATCTTGAGAACAAGTCTATTTTATCCCAATTATTGTTATGCTACAACGACTGGGCAAAGACTAGAAACGATACAAAAGCAACCGATGTTTTTATGGACTTCAGTAAAGCGTTTGACAGCGTGCCACACGAACGTCTGCTGTATAAGTTGGAACAGCACGGTATTGGAGGGGCTTTACTGAAATGGTTTAGAAACTTTCTTACAAATCGTCAACAACGAGTAGTAGTTCGGGGATCGTATTCGAAATGGACCAATGTAACATCAGGGGTACCACAGGGAACAATTTTAGGACCTATTCTGTTTTTAATTTGTATCAACGATCTCCCGAATGAAATTGTAAGTCACGTCAAGCTGTTTGCAGATGATACAAAAGTGTACCGAAAGCTATCGGACCCAGAGAACGACAGGGAAATACTTCAGTCAGACTTGAACCGTATGAGCGAGTGGACAAATTTGTGGCAATTGAGCTTCAATCTTGATAAGTGCGAAGTTATGCGGATAACTCATCATAAAGATAAATCAATACCTGAATACTACCTGTCTGACAAGAAACTAAAAGAGACTCTCCATGAGACCAGCTACTCAATGTATCATCCACATATCTGAACCAGAAACCAACATACTAGGACATAAGGTTTATAGGAAACCAACACATACAGACATGTATCTGCATTATAATTCATTTCATCATCCTTAGTATTAAAAACTCTGTGTGTAAGACACTCATCAACCGAGCGAAAACAATTTGTGAGGTAAGTAACATTGACGATGAATTACAACATTTAAGAAATGTTCTAAAAATGAATGGTTACCCACGGCATTTCATAGATAATGCTATGAAAATGCTGCAAAGTATACAGCAGAAGATTGAATATCAGTCGTCTGTTTGTCTACCATACATTGGTCCGGCTTCACACAAAATCGTAAGAATTTTGAGGAATGAAGCAGGTATAAAGGTATACCATTCCACCAAAAACAAATTGTTTCGAGCTCTTTGCACACATAAGGACAACATAAATGAATCTCAGAAACCTGGTGTCTACCGCATTCCTTGTGAATGTGGTCTGGTTTACATTGGTGAAACTGGTCAAAATCTCTCAGTACGTCTTAAGGAACACAAGATGAATTGCGAGAAAGCCCAGCAAGATAAATCTGCTGTGGCTAAACATACTTGGACTTACGACCATTGTATAAAATGGGACGAAGCAACCATTTTGGCGATTGATAGTCATAAGTTCTCTAGCAAAATGAGAGAGTCAATTGAAATCGAGAAGCACAATATTATAGATCAGAAGGGAAAGCCACTAGATAGTACGTGGCGTGCTCTCTTTAATGTGCAAAATTAATTACTCTTGTCTTGGATGCGCGCGCGTTAATTGGAATCACTTCACTACGTTTGAAATGACGTGGTTGATGTGCCGTTTAATTAAATTTCAAATGACGCGAGCCAACAGATCACGACACTTTTGTATATAAAAGAGCGTGTGAATTAAACAAGTTACATATTATTAGCACTGATGAAGATCCGGGTTTACGGATCGAAAGCTTTGCAGTAATAAATTTACATGGTGTTTCCACAAACAAAACTATTATATTTTACCACCATGCAAACATACAAAGAACTTATAACAATTGTATTATACAAAAGAAGTGAAACTCCAAAAATCGATAACATTTTTATTTATCTACGTTTCGACTATGTTTCAGTCATCACCAGGATGATGATAATATGGTGGACTGAAATATAGTCGAAACGTAGATAAATAAAAATGTTATCGATTTTTGGAGTTTCACTTGTTTTGTATTTTATTAAAATACTCAGTGGTTCTAAAAATTTTTGGTTTACAACTTTATTGATGACAGTGAAATAACAAACATGACTGAAGACTGAAGTCTTGCAAGATTTTGTAAATCTCAAAACCTTTCTGAGAGCCAAAAAGCACTAAAAATGTCTAAAAGGTAAGTTTGCTTTAAATATTGATGTATTGTTTGTTTTATAATTGGTATATTTATATTAACTGATGTGATCGTTGCATATATAAGTGAGAAAAGACAGCATATAATTTCAATGTTATTTTATTACTTACCCTTTCTTTGTATATTAAAATACTTAAATAAAGAGTAAAGCAAAGTTATTTTCATGAACAATTGAATAATAATTTGCGAGAAAAATCTTCATAATAATTTGTGCGAATTTGAAATCAGTTTATTTCAAACTCAATATTTGCCAATAATAATTTGATAAAAGGCTGTTTAGTTTTAAGAACATTTTAAAATGTTTTGTGAAGCGTTTGTGGTTCAATTTTACATTAAATTGAAGCTTATATTACAGGGATGTTTCAATTTTAAAACTATTCTTAAAATTATTAACTACTTTCAATTCTTCATGTTCAGAAAACATAATGGTTTTGTCAGTAAGGCAAGGGTTTCTGCATGTATGTATTTTCTAGTATATAGTTAATACGTCCCCCTCTTGAAAAAATTATTTTACTTACTTAATATTCACTAAGTTGTTCTTTAGATAGTTAATAAATTTCCCCCTGCTCTTTGCTTTTAGAATTAATTGTCTACATTTAGTCCTTTTAGAATTAATTGTCTACAGTTTAGACCAAGGAGAGCTATATAAAGATCTTTTGGTTCGCGGTTTCATTTGAAGGCATCGATAGTGCTTCATCTTCCATTATCATCTGCAGAACAGCAGAGGTCTTCGGCAACACATTTCAGTGGCAATGTCTCTCTCATCCATGTCAACTGGAACAAGATAATCTTGTGTTTGCCTTTCCTGCAGACTAAAATACAGTATGTCTGGTCGACTAGGTGGAGATTCTGCATTTCTGGTAGGCCGGATCCTATGAAGGTTCCACTTTCTTGCTTCTGTATGCAGTTCTGACTGTAGAATGTCCATGAAGCAGAATTTAAGGCATTCACATTGAATAATGTTGTTATCTATGAGGGGTGGAATGGGACAAAAATATAAATTGCGAAAGACAGATGTTTTCGGGCAATGTTTCATGTTTTCGGGCAATGTCTCATGTCATCGGGCAATGTCTCATGTTTTTGGGCCGTATGTTTTCGGGCAATGTCTCATGTTTTCGGGCAATGTCTCATGTCATCGGGCAATGTCTCATGTTTTCGGGCCGTATGTTTTCGGGCAATGTCTCATGTCATTGGGCAATGTCTCATGTCATCGGGCCGTATGTTTTCGGGCAATGTCTCATGTTTTCGGGCAATGTCTCATGTTTTCGGGCCGTATGTTTTCGGGCAATGTCTCATGTCATCGGGCCGTATGTTTTCGGGCAATATCTCACGTTATCGGGCGGGTTGGGATAAAACACGGATACGGATGGCAAGGATACGGATGGGGGGGGGGATAAAACAAGTACCGCATCAATAAGTACGAAATTTTTGAGTACCTGTTGAACTGAGGAAGATAAGGCAAAGATTCAGTTTATTTACTTTATTTATTTAAACATATTTATGCGTTTGCCCCAAGAGCGATATAAGCTATTTTATTTACTTCATACTTTTAAGAATACTAAATTTACTGAGGAAGCTCGACTGAACAAAGACACTCGACACGTATTAGTTACTTGCTTGTACTAGAAATTTACGTTTGAACCTTTTATGTGTCTGAGTTAATGCCCGCTGTTTATGCACTATAAAGAAAGCACTTTTTAGTTTAATCACTTGTATATAATTAAAGACGTTATATTCTCACACTTATGTCGCTCTGCATAACACGCCAGCAGATTACAAGACGAGTTTTATTACGTAGTGGGTTTATCATTTGTGTTTAAATTTTTTCTGATATTTCACAACTTCAATTTTTACCTTACAAGCGAATAAGAATATCAAATATACAAGTCAACACAAAATCAGAAATGAATTACTGGCAACTTTCCGCTCAAAAATTATTTTTCCCGCGCGTAATGCAAATATATACAAAATTTGCGAACTTTAGACCCCGTTTACACGGTACCGGATGAATTTGGGACCGGATTAAAATTCGTCTTTTCCGGCCTTCCGTTTACACGAGAACCACGGAACTGGACACATTTGAGACCCCCTAACAGGACGGAAATTCGCGACCTGAAAAAAGTAGATCTGATTTTTTACCCAAGCGGTTTTAAATTCGTCCGGTACCGTGTAAACGGGGTCTTACTTTGCTATATTTTCCCCATTTCGCAACCAAACTTTGCAATTTTACTCATTTTAAGATGCTCTATCTATAGATGTGGCGTTGGATTTCGTTCTTCTTGTCTAGTTCAAAGTTTTCCATGCGTGTACGTATGAATAATGGCTGCAAATCGTAATTTCTAAGACTATTTTTACAAGTTGAAATTGCCAGTAATTCATTTCTGATTTTGTGTTGAATTGTGTTTGATATTCTTATTCGCTTGTAAGGTAAACATTAATATTGTGAAAAAATTCTGATTATATAAGAAAAAATTTAAACACAAATGATAAACCCGTACCGTATAAAACTCGTCTTGTAATCTGCTGGCGTGTTATGCAGAGCGACATAAGTGTAAGAATATAACGTCATATAGGCCTAGAAAGTGTAGCAAGTGATTAAACTAAAATGTGCTTTCTTTATAGTACATGAACAGCGGGCGTTAATCAGACACGTAAAAGGTTCAACTGACGTAAACTTCTAGTATATAAAAGCAAGTAACTAATATATGTGTGTTGAGCGTGTCTTTGTTTCTCGAGCTTCCTAAGTAAATTTAGTATTCTTAAAAGTATCAAGTAAATAAAATAGCTTATATCGCTCTTGGGGCAAACGCATAAATATGTTTAAATGAATAAAGTAAATAAACTGAATCCTTGCCTTATCTTCCTCAGTTCAACAGGTACTCAAAAATTTCGTACTTATTGAATGCGCGCACATGCAGGTACTTGTTTTATCCCCCATCCGCATCCGTGCCATCCGTATCCGTGTTTTATCCCAACCCGCCCGATAACGTGAGACATTGCCTGAAAACATACGGCCCGATGACATGAGACATTGCCCGAAAACATGAGACATTGCCCGAAAACATACGGCCCGAAAACATGAGACATTGCCCTGATGACATGAGACATTGCCCGAAAACATGAGACATTGCCCGAAAACATACGGCCCGAAAACATGAGACATTGCCCGATGACATGAGACATTGTCCGAAAACATGAGACATTGCCCGAAAACATACGGCCCGAAAACATGAGACATTGCCCGATGACATGAGATATTGCCCGAAAACATGAGACATTGCCCGAAAACATACGGCCCGAAAACATGAGACATTGCCCGATGACATGAGACGTTGCCCGAAAACATGAGACATTGCCCGAAAACATACGGCCCGAAAACATGAGACATTGCCCGATGACATGAGACATTGCCCGAAAACGTGAGACATTGCCCGAAAACATCTGTCTTTCGCAATTTATATTTTTGTCCCATTCCACCCCTCATAGTTATCATTGTACAAACCCTGGTCACTTATATCTTTAAAGTGTTGTATCCACCAATCTGTGCATGCTTTTCTCAACTGTCCCCACCAAGCTTCAATTCATTGATTTGATGTAATCTTCCATACATGAAACTTTTGTTGCCAGTGAAGCTATCTTGAGATGATCTGCGAAAGAATCTTTGTGTGCCTTCCATGTTTACATTCTCTGTTCCCATATCAGCACAAATTATGTGTGCTGTTCCTCCTATTACATTTGCATACTCGATAAAACAGGAACCTGCAATTTCAGGATCGTTATTTGAAGATGCTACTTCTAACCACAAAATTTGATGACTGTAGCTGTCAATACCACCATGAATACAGAACCCAAAAGGTTTAAGTTTATCATAGCCATCAATATGCCACAAGTATTTTGGTCCTTTGCCACAAGTAATTTGGTCCTTCTTCGTAATCTATGTCTGGACCGTGCATATGTACTCCTTCCAGATCCAAAATTTTCAAAACTTGTCGTACAACATTCCTTGTTATGTTTAAATCATGTTCAATGGTTAGCCGGTGATGCATTGCCCTATATCCAATGATAGATCCACTTCCTCTCAGTTCATTCTCTATTACTCACCCAACATCATCAAAATTGCTTCTTATGTTTCATTTCCTGCAACCTCTCTACCTAAGGATCCTTTTTAATTGCCTTAAACTAAGACAAATTCCATGAATGTTAACAAGAGAACCTAAGATTTATACATAATTTAATCCCGGGTTAAAGTACTTTTCAATGATTTCGTCCCGATTCAAACCATCTGCTTCAATTGCTGAAGTGTACTGTGGTAGAATGGCCAAAACAGAGCACAGATAAAGAACAATGATGAATATAACTATATTGTATAATACCATGCTGAAAAACCAAATTTTGAAGAAAAAGAATCACTTGCTCTTGAACAGACAAAGCAGCTTGCATTTTTCACTTGACTAACTTGAAGTCGTAAGTCACAACCTAAGTCGCAACTTAAGTCACAAAAAGTTGCAACATAAGTCGCAACATACAAAATAAGAGGAACAATAAAAAAGTAGAGAGACTATGTCCCTTCTGAGCCACCACACTCATGTCATGTGATAAACAATCACCTCTTAACTGACAGGAATTAGTGGCAAGCTTTCCACTGCAAAAACGACATGATAAACCCTCTGTCACACAAATTCGTTGAAACTGGTGAATGAATTGACACCAGAAACTATTTCTGGGTACATAAAGTTCATATTGTCAATGCATGTTGAAATATTTTCAAAATTTATAGCGTCATCCTGCTCCATGGCAGTAATGGCATGATCAGGGATGAAGTTCTGAGCACGAACACCAGTCACGAAATGAATTACACCATCAGCAACACTACGGACAGACAAAATAAAGTCCTAAAACATTTATAGACTTTATAGCTCTAAAAATTAGAGAAAGAGCAGTCAGATTTTCTAAAAATTCCTGATGAGCAGCATGCGAGGACTTCCGCCATTACAGGAAATGTATGTTTTGACTGACCGCGTCTGTATTGACTGATTTCAGGAAACAAAGACAATTTCGTATCGTATTCTCTAGGGCCCAAATTGAATAAGGTACATTAGCCTGCATTGCTAATGATGGTGACTACAACTTTTTTCAGATGTTCTCTGGTTAAAGATTTTTACTAAACCTGCTTCAGTTTGCGTGGTCATTTAACCAATGGACATTTCCAGATCCATTGGAAACTTTCGTTTGGCCATCTTAGTGGCCTAATATCTACATGACATCCATATGCATGTCATCACATCATTCTAAAACATGTTAAATTAATTGAACAACTGAAAAAGCAAATGTCCAATGGAAATTCCACCTGTCCATTGGATCCAATTGACAAGCAAAATTCCAATGGATCCAATAGACACTTTTGTTTGGCTATCTCAGTCACCTAGTATCTACATGACATGTATATGCTTGTCATTACGTCATCCAAAGATATGTCAATTGACCAACTGAAAAAACAAATGTCCAATGGATATTCCATTTGTCTACTGGATTCAATGGATACACGAAAATCCAGTAGACAATTAGAGATCCATTTGACAAATGGAATGTCCGATGGCCTTTTGATTTTTCCATTGGACATCTTGCATGGGTATTGAACATTAATCTAATCACTTGGATTACTAACCCTAAAAACATTCTATTATGATTTTTCTTTGTGTTTTCCTCATGAATTATAAGCGAGTCTACGATTGATGACGTGCTAAACAAAGACACAGTAGAGAAAAATGTTAACAAGTGCGGTCGGAAAGTTGTACTTATCTCACATATTTTAACGACCCAACCACAACCTGACTATGACGCACATTTATTTTGATTTAAAATGGCGGAACAATTTTTCGATGTATGATGAAAATACGATTGATGATGAAGAATTAGTGTTGTTGTTAGAAGAAAACAAATGCAGTAACTTACACCTTGGTCTTCCATACTGGAAGTACGAAAGATTTAGCCTGGAGGATATGAGAGAAGACAGGTGTGAAGTTGAAACACGTTTCAAGAAAAATTATATTTACAATTTGGCTTTTCCCTTGAAATTACCTGAAGTTTACTGGTGTTTGGTCGTTGTCTCAGTTCAAGCACTTTGTGTTTGCCTAAAACAGTTTGCATATCCATGTAGATGTGCTGACTTAGTTCTGAGGTTTGTTCTAGTTGTGCCACAACTGTATTTGATTAACAAAACTGTAGTTGATGACCTATAATATGAGAGAATACTCGCACCACTTTCATGACCTTGACCAACCATGGTTGTCTCCAGAAAACCTACAACTGTATGCGACTGCGATACATAATAAAGGTGCTGCACTTGACAATTGCTGGGCATTTTTTGATGGAACAGTTAGGCCAGTTTGTTGACCAAAGCAGAATCAAAGAGAAGTTTACAATGACCACAAGTGAGTACACGCTTTAAAGTATCCATCTGTCCTGGCACCAATTGACTAATAGCTAATTTGTTTGGCCCAGTTGAAGGAAAAAGACATGACAGCAGAATTCTTACAATGTCTGAACTTGTTCTCTTTGGGACTGGTGCTAATTTAGCCAAAGTCACAAATTTTCAGGTTACAATTAGTCATTACCAACTAAAGTGAGTGATAAAAATATAAATATCTTGGCGTGTTTCTTGATAGTCTCACATGAAAATCACATGTGGAGTATATTACAACCAAGGTTGGGTAACCTTGAACCAACAAGAGTTCAATCGCTCAATGAGCAGAGTCAGTATCTGTTGAATGGGGTTTTGGGGATATAGCAAACTATTTTAACTCATTCTCATCCAGTCGAAAAGTAGCAATTTCGAGTGGTGTTGTTTTAAATGCATATATCTTTCAAACTATATATTGTACAAAAGCAGAAATTGCATCGTTCGAAAGAGCAGGGCTTCCGCTTTCCAACAATACCAATTTCAATTTCATCCGGAGCTTGGTTAACAATTTACTCGCATAAATTTGCATAAAATATGATATTAAAAAATGTTGCAATTATGCATAAATGTATCTACCAATTCAAATTTCAAATATGTCAAAAAAAGTTTCATGCATGTAGCATAAATGGAAGTATTTTTATTGAATTTTTGAATAAACTATGTAGTTGAGTAAAATTTACATTGTGTGCTGACATGAAACAAATACCCTTAGCGAAGGTCCTTTTTCATTACTGCAACATATTATCAATACAAATTTCTAGTATTTCTTACACTCCAAGGATAGTATGGCACCAAAATAAGTCTCTGATACCCACAAAAGAACACTCAAATCACTATTTGCAAAATGTCTTTATTTCTACGGTTACTATATACATTCTTAGATAATCAGTACACCATTAACTTACAGTTATCAGTGGCATAACCAGCCTGAAAATTTGGTCATGCTATTCAAATTTTAAATAATCATTACTCATTTCTTTAGAAATTGATTGTTTTCACAATATAGAACATGAAAATATTTGCATATAGCATGACCAAGTGTTGTTGGGCTGGTGTCATCATTAGTAGTTATAAAAAAGTAATGTTTTCCAAGGCAGTAATGTTTGCCTAGGCACATAATTGAGGGGTGGGGGGTACCAATCCTGAAGCATGAGAAACAATATGCAGCGATCTTGAAACATGAAAAATAAAAGAAGGAAGTCCTGAAGCACGTAAAATAACAAATTTATTACGAATCTGAAATGTAAAGGGAACATGAAATGTAAGCAACAACCATACTTAGAGGTCTTAAAGGTGAATATAAACAGTCTGTACTGGGCCATGTGTTTACCTATTTGTTTACAATTGCGTCGAAGTTCATGATTTATAAAATTTGAAACCTGCGTCCCCAAATCAAAACATAGCTAAAATCCAGAAACAAAATTAATGGAATATATTGTCCAGAAACAAGAACTAACAGTCTTAAATACTGCTGAAAACGGAGATCGGATATTAAATACACCGCAAGCACGATACACAGTATCCATGTCGGGATTGAAAAACGTTTAATAAAAAGATGACTGAACGAAGAACGAATAATTAATTTACCCCAATACGGAGCACGAAAATACCCCATTACCCCCCTCATAATTGGATTATGTGGTGAAAATATTTCCCTTTTTGCACAAAATATATATTGGACAGCAAAAGACCTAAAATTGTAACCAAACTTATATCACATCACCACGTCATACCCAAATCCATCCTACGATGAATCTCTGGACTTGTTCCTGTATAAATCTAAAAGTTGCAATATAACCATTGGGACTGCCTCCAGCAACCCACAGATTTATCTCCCACATAGTAGGCCATCTTTCATGAACTGCCTAATCCCCAACCTATTCCTTGATTTGACAGTGTGTTCGTCAACAGCAATCTTCTGTGATGGCTGGTACAGTTGTTGATGTAGTTTATTGCTGTAGTCTTCAGTGACAGGATCTACCATATTCAGAAACTTTGCTTTACAGCGCTTTGTACCTAAACCGAAAAATTATTTCTATTGCCCGCAGACAATGATATAAGGTTTTTACACTCCAATAATTTTCAATCTCACTGTCGACCTTTACCAAACCTGCATATACTAGAAAGGCAATCAACCTCTCAATCTCCTCAAGGTTGGTGTACTCCAAGACCCTTCTTTATTAGTATATGGGAATGATTTTTGGGTTATTTGTATGTGGGTATATGTATTGGTATGGCCAGGAAACTACCTCCTGAAGCATTCCCTTAGTAAAAAAGAGCCGAATGAACTCAAGCTCACAGTTCATACTTCTGGTGAAAGCTTGATCGAAATGGATCCCGGACATGTTGGTGAGGGGCAAAATCTGGGATAATATTCCTAGTGTCAGGATCACCATATCTGTCATGTAATATGGGGCCTAGTGGGGGTGCTAGACAGGGAGCTTTCAAAACCTTGGGTCCTAGTAGCTGAGCTTACCTCTACTCATCTCCCTACCTTCCCTCTACACTTTCACATTTTCCTAATGGGGGTTGGGGAGTGGGGTTCTCATGACTCTCAGAACTGCTACTTCCCTGGGGCTATGAAACAGGAACAGCAGCTAGGAACAGGATCAATATCTTCGTAACTGAAAATAAAAAGTTTTTTATAGACATAATCTATATGGTGCCACTTGAAATTATAATTAGAGCCAAACTAGTAAGATATAAGTATGAATACTTGGTCTATTATGTATGTAACAAACAACCAAACATGTGCTCAAGGCTCATTTTACTTTGCCTAGGAATCAGAGTTCTTTATGCCTAAAACACCATAAATTTTCGACAACAATATAAATAAATACCATTTATATTTTTCAATTTCAGTATGGAAGGATTATTTCAACACAAAAAATGCAATATGAGGACATACTTGATCGTTCTAGTGAAGCTATACTAAATGCAAATCAATTTACAACACCATGGCAACGGCATTGAAATGGAATGTCTAAAAATTATCAAAATACTTGCCTTGAAACTCCAGACACAACTCCCAATGCCAGGTTGAGATACTTGTCTTCGTACGAAGACAGTACGAAGACATTCCGTCATTACTAGCACTATCAGTTTGCAAAACAAGGCCAAGAATGTCTTGAGGATGCGATTCAAACAATACAATTACAGCACAATACATTACAATACATTACAACGCTTGTGCACGATAATCAGGAAAATTGCTCCAGAAGGTTTGTTTTTCTGCCTAAGCCAATCAAAATCCATCTCTAGGGTAAACAAACACTCCAATGCTTTACCAAGAATTTGGCGTCCGAAGTTGGCAGAACACTTTTCGACCACAAGAATTGCTATAATAGGCATAGATTATTTTGCAATTTCCCGAGACTGCTCCGAGCTATAGAATGAAAGATGTTGATAAGCAAAGATACAAGCATTTGAATCAGGCGGAACATTCAAAATGCAACAGCAAAATTGGTAATGCATCATTTGCATAAATTTCACCGCATTGATTATTTCAAGGTAAGAAATTCACTTGAAATTGAGCGAGAAACAATAAAATTATATGAATATTTCGGAATATATAGTATCGATCAGGAGGAATTTTTTTGTGGTATTTTCGTATTTCTACTGCAAATACTCGAGGAGTTCTTTCATATTTAATCTTCCTGTCATATATACATCGGAAATCAATATTGGCGGATGGAATTGAGTTAAGTTCATTCATTGGCTTCAAAAAACCCCTCAGAATTGGATTAAGTGTTGTTGGCAAATTTTATGTGATATGTGCTCTTCTGAGAAATGCTCTTACATGCCTGTATGGGGACACAACATTATGAATACTGATCATTATTGTCAGAACAAATTTATTATCCATAATCTCTTTGTTAAGCCCCTCTCTCGAATAAGTATCTTTTAGATGAAGAAATTTATTAACCCCCCCCCCCGTTCTATTAAGCACCCCCCTTTAAATACAACAATGGTTTAACACATTGTTTTATTTGAATAAAACTTTATTCCATAAAGAAATAAGCCCCCTCTCTAATAAGTACCCTGCAAATGTGTTTGAAAAGAATAGGACCTTAGGGGGCTTATTACTAAAATCACTAAACTGGCCACATCCCGCTAAGAATTTCAAACAGGGAAAGACGTTTGATAAATGGATAAAGACGTTTGATAATTCCAAATTCAATTTTCGTTCAGTCATGTGATCAAATCGTTTCATCATTTTGGTCACATGACTTCACGATTTTACAAATTCTATTTTAAGATACCTCAATTACCCGCCACTCAGCCACTGTACGTTTCGTTCGTCGTTTTATAAATACAAACATGTCGTTCTTTCAAATAAAAATAATTTATACATACTATGCAGGAAAAAGGACAACTCCGATCTTTATCTCCGAAGACGAACTCTTGTCAGATGATTTCCAGTCTTTTAAGGATAGATTGATAACAGAAGTACCACACTTGGCCAAAACGTGTTCGCCTTTACAACTCACAGTTTTAGACGATCATTTGGAGGTTGATCTGTCTCCGGAATATTTTCCATTGCAAATGAGGGAGTTATTGAACAAAAGGAAGGAAATAACATTGCAAGCATTTACATTTGAGTCTCCAGGGTCAAGAACGGCAGTGCCAGTGGAGTCACATCAATCTTTGCCAAGAACCGAAGTTTGAAGCCGAAGGGCGCTTGAACTCCCTGCTTTATTTGATGACAGCGACAGCGAAGGCGAAGACAACGTCCACGAGGACGAGGACTCAGATACACCAGCTCAAGAAATCTACTTATCTCCTGTTGATAAACTCGTTGAAAAAACTGCAGAGGAATCATTTTCAGTAAAGCCTTTCGCTTTGGACATGAGTCGCCCTGCTTGTTCAAAATGCCACTTGCATGCCGGCCACACGATTTAGTGATTTTAGTAATAATAGAGAGATTACGGTAGGTACTGTAATTATTAAATATACAAATAATAGAAACATGTTTTTCACAATTTTTAGTGTGACATATAAATTAATCTTCATTATATCGTTCAAGAATAAGGTGCAAAAAAATAATTAAATTATTGAAAATAATTATAAACTGTATACTGCAAATAAATTAGGGTCAATCTTCATTCTTTGTATTGTTATTTAACAATTCCAATAACCCCTTATTTTGCTGCTGCACTTGCATAAACATGCCTTGTTGCTGTTGTAGCTGTTGTTGTAATGTTTGAATTGTATTACTTTCATTTCTGGCACATAACTCCTCATCTTGTTTCTTTGCTTCCATCTCTTTCCTTTTATTTCTTGTTCTTTAATTTCCCATGCTCTTTCTGCTTCCTTTTCTTTCATTGCCATCTCCCTTTTCTTTAGCTCCATTTCTTCCCTCTTTAAATCAACCTGTTTATCATGTTTTTCTTTAAAATATTCCATAGAGCTGCTTCTTGATTTGTTTGTTTTCTTTGCAGTTTCTCTTTCCTCGATTTCTCCCAGTTTTTCCATAGTTCTTTTTCTTACATCCTCTGCTGTTGCCCTCTCCTTTTCTCTCCTGCTATATTTCCTCTCTTGTCATTTTCTGCTGGAAGCTCTTGTTACAATGCTTCTTCAAGTTCTGTAAATGCAGGACTAATACCAGATGCTTCTTTTTCCTCTTCTGACATTTTTCTCTTGATGCTTTTCTCCCCCATGCTGTTTAAATTATCAGTATGGTGTCCCAGCAATGTCCTCTTTCCCTGGAACCATGCTTGAACTTTTATGGTTCTTTGACCAGGATTTCCTGGCAGAGTAGAATGTTATGCCTTTTGGTCCATAACATCTTCTGCCCACAGAATGATTAAAATCTCTTTGTTAGAACAATTGGTAGAAATCCCAGTTCTGGTAAATTCATAATTTGCATCAACACACTTACCAAATACAGCTAATTAAAAAAAGGTTGTCCGTCAAAAACTCAAAACCGTGAACGTTAACTATGAACGCGCAATGCATCATGGGAATGCACAATCTGTTTTCGCATAATTAACTATGACAAGACTATAGGAGTGAATGTAAAGGCCCTGTTTATACGTCACTCTGGTGTCGAGTCAAATTCAACTTTTGCCCGAAAAGATATATGAAACATCCATCAAAAGTTCGTCGTAACATTGTAATAATATGAGCTTGTCTCAGATTTAAGCCACATTTACACAATGAGTCTATGATCATACGGCAAATATACCATAGCGTAGTGATATGCATCCCAAGTGCCAAATATACCACAGACTATGTTATAGTGTAAACACAATACTGAGAAAACCTAGTGAAGTTTTAACGAAATTGATTTGTATTAAGAGTGGCATATGTAGTGGTCCGTAGTTCGTATGCTATGGCAAACCACTCCGTTATAGTGTAAACACAATGTAGTCTCAATACCAGAAACATAGTAAATTTTTAACGGACTTGTTAACCGTAGCGCCATAGTGTAAACACGGCTCGAGCGATATATTTATACGTCGATTGTCGGGAAAAATGAATTTGACTGTACACAGGAGCGACCTATAAACAGGGCCGTATTGACGTATTCTAAGATGTGGCGTGCATATAGCCACGTATAGCTAAAATGGTAAAGTCACGATTTACGATGGAGAACAATTTGGTTGCCCGAAACTGAATTGAACTTTCAAATCAGTGAAGTATCTTTTTACCGATGTCAATTAAGGAAAATGATTTCTTGATATTTGGGAAATTTGAATGCTAGACATGACTGTTATCAGGCGGACCATACGCTTGTGTAGCAATATTATGTGTTTGTGCATAGAAAGTTAATGTAAAGTGCCAAAGAATTCCCAATGGGAGTCTAAATTTATTCTGAACTAGAATGATGCGAGATCAAATTTACCAGCAAATTACTCGTTTAGTATGACATTGAAATTAGTTCTAATTAATTCCCATGTGATTTCAAAGGGTCCACCAAACTAGTAATTTGTAGCTGACATTGGGAATTCGTCGCATTCACTTTGCATCATTCACGTCGCACACACGTTCGAAAAAGTTACCTTATTTGAATAGAACAAGTTAATGTTAAAATGGATGAAGGAGATACTGTAAACGTGATATTTAAGGTTGTTTATCAAGCCAATAGATCAAAGTTTGACACGTACAAGCATCAAAATGTTCCGATATTTGATAGCGTAGAAGATTTGAGAAAATTTCTGCTGGGAAAATTTTCTCGAGGAACTTTCCGCACCCGCAAACTCATTTCGTCTTGGCTACATAACCGGCAAAAATCAACGGTTCACCATCAGCAACAGTTCCAACCTTGATGATGCATACACGTCAGCAAAAGATGATTGGTGATGGTTATATAACTATAACCCAGGGCTTATAGTCGGAGGTTAACGGTACTAGGATGCTGCCAATATCAAACCCTAAGTGGCTGAGTCCTACTCTTTATCGCGGCAATTGCCATAGAGGGAGAACAAAATCCTGTGGATCATTGCGGCAACAACGGCAATTTTTTGCCATATAGTGCAATTTTTATACTATTTACTGTGCATTGCTATTTTGATAGTTGAATTCAGATGTTGATCAAATCATGTGTACATGTAAATCACTATTTTAGTCTCAGTTTTCTTCAAAAAAAAAAATACTAAAGAAATACGTAGACATGTTTCTAGCTTGTCAAAAATCCAAAGTAACAATAAAATTAAAGTTTTATTACAGTAATTTGAAAAATGCCGTGGAAACTGTCAAAATTGCTGTAGACAGCTGTTTCGGTCTACAGCAATTTTTAATGCCATTGCCGTGGATTGATTTCAGGGAAATTCGAGCCCTGGTAGGTGGCCATGGACATTGGTGCGGCAAGCTTAATTTCACAGCGCCATTAGACATTAAATTGAAGATTTCAGTTTTGGTGGCCAAATTATTTCTACCTTTTCTCCCCCTGGTATCATAATATAGTACAGTGTTAGATAATATAGTACAGGATTGATAAAAATAGCAGCCATGTTTTGTTAACAGCTACTGTACAACATGCCATTAATCATGATCTTTAAACTATTTCATATTTCAATCTTAGTATTGTTAGCAATTAAATTTATACATGTAGAGTTGATAAGTTCAGGTTTTGACTATTTGGCTGGAACCTTACTTATATTCTAGAGTCTATTAACAAAATGTAATGTCAAAAAGAACACTTAAAAACATACTGTATTTAATTTTTCAATGAAATTGTCAATTTTGATTTCCAGAACCGAAGGTGAATTTTTTGACATATTTGTATACATACACTAACATGATGTACAATGTTTAATGAATAATGTGTAAAACTTGCTCTATCATTTTAGGTTTGCCATTTGTATTTGGTATGAATGTGACAAATCAACCGTACGTTCTAGTGACAGAATTTTACGGCATTGATGGCGAATGTGTGACATTGGCAAATGCTGTCAAGGGTAGGTTGCCTTTGAATATTTCAAACTGGGCAACGATATTGGGAAGAACATCTGAAGCCCTTTCCCATATTCACAGTAAAGGGTTTATTCATGGTGACATCAAAAGTGACAATATTGTTGTCAGAGGAGAATCTGCTTCATACACACCTGTTATTATAGATTTCGGGGAAATGAAGAAAATCAGTGAGGCCAAGAGGTATAACTTCTCTCCAAAAGAGAAAGAGAAATACAGTTCAAAGTACAAGCATATTGCCCCTGAAGTTATACAGGGTAGTCATCCCAAATCTGACGCCAGTGATATATATATATAGTCTGGGCCAGGTTATTTCACTTGTGTGTTTTTATAATCGATCAACTGGTTTGCAGAAGATAGCGAGACAGTGTGTACATGGAACACCTGAGAAAAGACCACAATGTGGGAAATTATTTCTCAACTTTATTCTATTTCTGCTTGTTAGATTTAGTAAATCTAAGTACTGTATAATTAACATTACAGACTGTTTTAACCAAATTTTAATATTATAATATATTTATTAATTAACCATACATGTATTTACTTGTTTTAACAACTGTGTATTGTGGTTCTTCAGTAGATTATTATATACACTACATGTTTATAAAGTAACAGTTATGTAAAACATGTATGCCTTGTAACTTAGTATAACTCACTGTAGTACTGCATGTACGGTACTGCATGCAAACACGTAAATTCCTGTTTCCTGGTTTATAAAGTTACTTCGTATTTATGATACAAAATACCTCGTTAAAGGGCTGATAATATACCTGTGTTGATTATTATCTGTTGTCAAAAGGGCAAATCCACATTTTGCATGGATTCTTTGCACAGGCAAAAATCTTGATGTACCTCCAGGATACACATTCACTTTACTTGCCACAACAAGTGGGTTTAAATATAGTGTCGTTGGTAGTATTAAACCACATCGCACATGCAAACACATGTTTAGTGAATTCTTGATCAGACTTCACAGAGTAGGAGAAGTAGATATCGACCAGTCCAAACACCTGTTGCATGACGTCTTCTGAAATTCCCCCATCAGATCTTGCCCATGCTGCAAGGATACCAATAGATCGCTTGCTTCTATAAGCCATTGTGGAACTAAACTTTGAGTGGTGTTGTTTCAAACGCTTATATCTCTCAAACTATACATCGCACGGAAACAGAAATTGCATCGTTCGAAAGAGGAGGACTTCTGCTTTCCAACGATACCAATTTCAATTTCATCCGGAGCTTGGTTAACGATATACTCGCATAAATTATGATACAAAAAAATGTTGCAATTATGCATAAATGTATTTAGTGGTTCAAATTTCAAATATGTCAAAAAATTTTATGAATATGACTGAAAGACACGGTTATGATCTACAAGTACCTGAACTTTCATGCATGTAGCATAAATAGAAATATTTTTATTGAATTTTTATATAAACTAGTGGAGTAAAATTTACATTTTGTGCTCACATGAAACAAATACCTTTATCAAAGGTCCTTTTTTATTTTTGCAACATGTTATCAATACAAATTTCCAATATTTCTTACTCTCCAAAGATAGTATGGCACCAAAATAAGTCTGTGATACCAACAAAAAAAAACACTCAAATCATGATTAGCAAAATGTCTTTATTTCTACAATTACTACATACATTCTTAGATAATCATTACACCATTGACTTTAGTTATTAGTGTCATAACCAGCCTCAAAATTTGGTCATGCTATTCAAATTTGAAATAATCACTACTCATTTGTTTAGAAATGGATTGTTTTCACAATCTAGAACATGAAAATATTTGCAAATAGCATGACCAAGTGTTGTTGGACTGGCATCATCATAATTAGTAGTTATAAAAAAGTAATGTTTTCCAAGGCAGTAATGTTTGCTAAAGCAGTAATGTTTGCCAAAGCACATAATTGGATTATGTGGTGAAAATATTTCCTTTATATTGTACTACAAAAGACCTAAGGCTGTAACCAAACTGATATCAGATCACCACTTCATACCCAAATCTGTTGCGATGAATATCTGGACTTCTTCCTGTATAAATTTCAAAGTCGC